CTGATCACCTTGAAACGGTATAGTGACAATGTGTTTATGGTGATAAATATGTCAGAAGAACTGAGAGACTGTTATCCACCAGGATAGCAGAGCATGTATCGAAAAATTTGGCCTCTAACGAATCTGAGCCTCCGTCCAGTTCTATCGCCCGACATACGCTGGATTGGAAAGAATGTGACAAGCCTAGGAAAGCCATTCGTGTCTTGATCCGCCAGAAGTGACTAACCGTTTACTACGGTTCGATGAAGCAGCTGTCATTCGAAGTTACAAGCCCGATTCATGTAAACAGACCGAATTTATGGCTAGCCCCGCGCTGCCCTGGTAAGTGTCACTGTCCTCCTCCATCTACCATCGCCCCACTCTGTCCGAATACCCAATCCGGTTCATGTTAGTGATTTTTGGCCTTCGTATTGATTGATTTCTCTTCCCCGTGTGTTCGCCTGTCCCCAAACCTGTCACTCTTTTGACCAAACGTGATCTGAATTTATGTATGTACACAGCTGATGAGAATACCACGAACTAGTTGAATTCAACACATCCTGTGATCATGATGCTTCTTCTTGCTCTCATTGTTTATTGTTGCGATAGAGGATTATTCACGGACTAATTCAAGGTTTTAATTCACTCGTGAAATCCATCAGACGCTCTTATGCGACTACTTACTGCTTCCCGGATTGCCAAGTAAAACCCTCCAGACTATCACGATAGGTCCATTCAACTTGGGAGGGAAAAACCGATTTCAGAGGAACATTTAAACGGGTGAATAGATTCCGTGTTTACGCCAACGAAACTGCTCGGATTGACCGGCTACGGTCTGTCGATACACAAATGTAGTCACTAAGCTTGCACCTATATACCACCGACCAAGGTGTTGAAGTACAATTGGCGTTATACCAGCTTCAGCATTGCACAGCGAAATATAGTGAAGTGAAACTTCATGGACCACTGTAAGGCTCACAGTGTTATATATATAATGATAACGCGCAGTGCATAAGGAGTGAACCTGTTTGGAAGGGCGTGGGGTCGCACATAAAAAGTGAACCTATGCGGCCAACACAATATAAACGCGTACATACACATACATGTATACACACCCATCACGACGAGACTGCACCTTGGCGTCGTTTGAAGGTTTGTGCAACTCTATGACCCAACGAGCTACACAGGATTGCTTGGGTCGAGCCATAAATCTAATAACGTCTGGAAGGTCAATGGGTAGATCAGACGAACTTCAGTCTCCTGGTTCTCCAAGTTGGGAGTTCGACTGGGATTTGCGTTTAAGTCGGTAAAAAATAGAGGAATAATCGATCCAAGTAAATAGGCCTCCACTTCGTTTCACCCGCTGCCTTACGGTCAACTTCTTTTTAGAACTGAAGGCTTTGAACGAGAACCCTAATTGTTCTCCTGCATAGTGGCTGGACACCCTAGCATTACCCGTCCATCAAACCCCAATGCATATATGCATTGCGAATTTGGCAGCAATCAGTGAAGTTCGACTCACTGTATTTCGCTGTACGGTGATGATGCTGATATATACACACACACATAGACATCTTCATACGCACTCCAGTTTGATGAGAAATAACAAGAACGCTCCTGCTGTCGCTTCATTACCACGTCCTTCAGTGTCTTGAATCAACCAGTGTTCTGGATCCCAACCTTGAAGGTGAGAGACACGTAGTCGCTCATGACATCTGTCGGACTCCGTTTGTGATGTCCGCCCCCCCCCAACCTGAAATAGCGGCTTCGGGTGGAAGCAGATTGTTATGCCGAATACATGTCTGAATTGATGGTGCCTGCTAATCTGAATTCAGTGTGACAAATAATTTTTCATCAACCGGGTCCTGAATATACGAATGCTTGGCTTGAGGTTACTAACACACTATCGTGTCAAATTAGGTGAACGCTGATTGTCGAACACCTCTAGTCGATGAATATTTTCCACTGGGAAATGCAGGGTTTCGAAAC